ACATGCTGAATGGTATATAAAACTAGGAAACTAGCCAAAAGTCAGTTTTTCATTTTATAAAATTTTTATCGCCTAGGCAACTAGGCGCCCCAATGTCGCCCAGAATCGCCTATACGCCTTGAAAACTATGAATTCAAGTATTGAAGTTTATTATTAACCATATTGTTACTTTTATTAATTTTCAATTTCTATCCTAATTATGATATATCTAAAATTAAAGTAATTAATATGAAAAAAATCCATACATGCAACACACGTGCTTAATTACTAGTATCGACTAGAGTACAATTAGACCAAAGGAAGCTAACAATGAAAGAACTACAACATTGGTGGATGTTCATTTTTTATAGAAGAACACTGTCCTAAAAGTGGAAAGGATTAATGACAACCCTTCTTGCTCATTAGAATCCAGGAAGATTGTTGCAGCAAGTAGAATATACTTAAAAAACAAGGAAACATGGAAATGTCTTGGTGTCAAAGGCATTCACAAGACTAAAAGGAAGTCTCTTTGGAACTGGATCAAACAAGAAGTTGTTGAAGGTCAAGAAAAACCTCAAGAAGATGTTAGTGTTTTAGTTGATCAAAGGTCGTAGCTTGTGAGTTGTTCTTGGCTTTGGTTGTTATCAAGTAAAGATGTGTGCTCGTGGATTTGAAGTGGTTCTTGTCTTTGTTTGGCTTTGAGTTTTGAAATTTGTCTTTGGGTTGTTTGGGGTCTTCTTCTATTGTGGGGTTTTGTCTTGTGGTGATTTTGTAGGTTCTGATTTCAGCTGGTTTTGTTGAGGATAGGATGGCTTGGAGTGCTTGTGTTGGGTTTTAGAGTTTTGTTCTGTCCCTTTTTCTCTCTCGGGTGACTTCTGGTCACTCTCCTCTGTGATTTCTTTTTTCTTTTAATAAATTTTATTTTATTACCAAAAAAAGACAACAAAGATGCATTTTAACCAATATACAAAAAGGAAATTGTAATTGATCAAAAGACAAAAAAGGAAATTGTAATCCAAATATCAAGAGGACAAACCTAAGCCAGTTCAATATATGTTGCTGATCTATAGGATGGTTAACACCAGATACTGCTAAGCAAACAGCACGTACAGCAAATCGATTAGAACCAGCCTTTGAAAGGGCTTCTGCCATCACTTGTTCCAATGTCTCCCTTGCTGCACTTTCTATAGAATCCAAACCACCAAGAATTAGAATAAATAATCATATCATGGCAGACACTTCTTTCCTATTAGAGTTTTTATTTAATTCTTTTCTTCCATAGATGATAAAGAATTTCATTCAAAAACATCAATTATTTCCTCGCAAATTCCTCCATGAAGTTTACCAAAAGAAGACATCTCCACATCAATTTTCCCTTTTTCTTCCTAGGGGGAGATCTAGCATCTCAAAACCTAAATAATATCATGCAAAAACATCCATTAGATCACAAATTGCATCATAAAATGATTCCAGAATGAAGAAGCAACAATAAATAAAATGAAGAAACGAAAATAACAAATCAATCACCTCATCACCTCTCCACAACCTAAGAACTTCATCCTTCTAACTTGACTAGGGATAAAATGAGGCTCAACTTCTGGCGGTTACAAATGATGCCACCACTATACTATCTCTATCATGTAATATTGAACTCACTATAAAGGGATAAGAAAAAGAATTTTCAACCAATATTCTATATACTTCCTAATTATTTTCAAAAAAAAGAAAAAAAAAATCTATGCACTTCCTGATGCTTGAATTACCTCCAGTTTCTGTTTCTTTCTCCAATTTTCCCTTGGCATGGACAACCACCGGCAATCCGGTGTAAGCAGATGATTGAGTTCACCTTCTCAAAAATACTCAGCCGGAGTTATGGGTTGGAACTTGGAAGGCTACCTTAGTTAGAGTCAAGAATGCCCAATTCAACATTGCCAACCACCCAAAATCAATCGAACAAAAGTTTAACATATATATATCCTTGTTGCGTATCGTTCTGAATTAATGTCGCAACTAGATACATAAACGTAGAATAATATATATTAAAATTGGGAGCCTTTTACTGAAAGAATGCCACAAATCAGAGAAGCATGGAACAAGTACAATAGAACAAACGGGAAAAAATAGATAAATCAAAAACAAGAAAATATAAGTAACCAGGAGGGAGATCGACAAAACCCAGAAATTTAGAAGATAAAGAAGCCCATCAAATCTAACATCCACATAGAGAAATACGAAAATAGTACGAGAATGGGAATCGTATCAGATAATCCGGATCGAGATAGATCGAACAATTGGGTTATTACCTCCAACACTGTTGTGGTTGGAACAACCCGCGACAGCCCTCGCGAGAACGGGAAGTGGGTCGGGAAGTTGCTCGGAGCAGGGCATGACTGGCAAGCAAACGCACACCGTCGAAGTCGCTCCTCCATCCAACCCGAGAATGACGTCCGACCCATCTCGACTAACGGGCATTTCGCGCTCGAAGTCCCAAATTTCTCCATTTCGATACCTCTTCATCAGAACACTCTTCGACACTAAAAACCACAGACAAATTGCAGGAGAAAAATTGACCTTCACAGCTAATCCATGAAAATACTGTGATGCGAGCGAGCGAGCGAGAGAGAGGGGGGGATTTGAATTCAGACGCCAGAGAGGGGTCAAATATAAGAGGTTGAATTGAATATGGAAGATATTACAGCCGTTTTCTCTTTGTGGGACCAATCCATGTCTATTTCTCCATCCAACGGCTTGAAATTGGGGAGTACTAGACGGATTTTGTGACCAGCTTTCCCTCTTCTCCGTGATTCTCTGCACGCGATTTATGGTCGGACATATTCGGTTGGTGTTGGCGAGAAGGCGTTGAAAACAAGCAAGCAATGACAAGCAAGGCCAACTGAGGGGTCGTTTAGCTGTTCCTTTAGTAGAGACGGGTATTCAAATCCCGCTGGCACCAAAATTGGGGGGAGGGGTGTTTACTTGCTACACGTGCGACGCACGGGTTTTATTAAGAAAACTAGTGAAGACCCTTAAGATGCACGAAAAAATCTGAAAGATTTAATAATTTTATTTTTCATTTAATGTTGATTTATAAAAAATAATTATTATTAATTGAATATAAATAAATATTTTTAATAAATTTAGTTTATTAATAATTTGTTGTAATTTTAATAATTTTATTTTTTATTATTTTTAAATGAAATTTTGATTAATTTTAAATAAATAAAAATAATTATAAAAATTAACATTTTTATTAATTTCACTAATAATTAACAATTATATAGGAATGACAACGGCGTGGGTTCAAGGTAGGGCACCCCATCACTTTCCCCGCCCCATAGTCAAGACACTTTACCTCATCCCCGCCTCATCCCTAGTGTCACGCGGGTTCAAGGCAAAGTAATCACTCCTCAATGTTGAACGAGTTCAGGGGCAAGGCACCCCACTCCTCATCAAGGATGAAGAATCCTTGAATTTCCCAGCCCCGTCCCCAGTATTGGGCGGGTTCAAGTAGAGGTGTAAATTGGGTCATGTTGTATCGGCATGACACAACCCGCATGTGGCCCGCACAAAGTGCGAGTCGTGTCATGCTGGCCCACGAGGCGTCCTGGGCCTTGCCTCCCTCCTCTATGATAATTTGGGGGTCGGTTCGGCACGGCCCACAACTCGAGCCCACATAGGCCCGTGCTGTGCCATGGGTCAGGTTGGTCCATGGGCCAAACCTTGGACCAGGCCATGCCGCACACCAAGCCAAGCTCAAGGCAAGGCACCCACTCCCTGTCCAAGGTTTTTAAAATTGGACTGAATAGGGAATTGTTATGGGGTCAAACGGTCTAACGGTTCTGAAGAGATGAGAGATCCATCATATGGATGGCCGAACCCTGTAGGAAGGTTGGGCGAAATTTCAAAAATTTATCTCTCTCCCATCTGGGAATCACATTCCCTATTTTAGAAAACTGCAATTTCAATGATTAATCTTGAAACAAACCAGACCAGATCTGAAACCAAAAGGGAGGAGAGGGATATACCTGATACGGAGTAATAGTAACTCCCAACGAAGGTGTTCACGCCCAAGGAAAAAACCAAAATCTGCTCCCACTGAAGATGACACAGTGTGAGGTGAAGCAGAATCAACAGGATGACTCTTCAACAAGAACTGAATTCTTCAACAATAATGTAGTAAAGGGCTGGTGAGAACAACTTCAGATTACCTCCTCTAGCAAAAAGCAATATCAAGAACGGTTCTTGATCACTTCCACTGGTGGAGATCGAACTGGGTAGGGTGGCAAGAACAGGAAGAAAAGAGCAGAAGACAGGAGCAGTCAAATGTAAGTTGTCTTCTCTCTTAATTCATCAATAGACTGTGAGTGTGTTTGGAGGTCCGCCCTGCTCTCCTATTTATAGCCTTAAAGAGAGGTTCCCTTAATCCTATTAGGAGTTTCTTAATCCAAATTTTATATTTGGATATGGACTCTCTTTAAGAGATAAGGATAATCTCTTATCTTATCTGCAAATAAAGATCAATCTTCCTAATCAAATTAGGAGTTTCCTAATCCAAAACTTTATCTTATCTGCAAATAAAGATCAACCTTCCTAATCAAACGGGCTTTAGGCTCATTAAGTCTATGTGCTCACTTAAACTCTTAACTTGCTACCCAGTTGACTATCCTTGTATGTCGTGTGACCCAAACATTGATCTACACATCAGCCACATGGGTTCAACCCAGTCTTTGTTACAAGGCCTGGTGGAATTCACCGTAGGAGACAATGAACCCCTAAGTCCATCACCATGGGCTCTTAATGGGCTCAACATTTACACTAAATGGTCATTGGGTCCAGTCACCTTATGAAAACCCAAGAACTGTGGGCAGATGCAAAATTAGCCCATCAGGTATTACCCTCAATGGTCTTACATTTAACCTCTCAGCCCATAATGATCAAACACTGCTCAACAAGAGAGGACTTCTCCCTCGGCTGCAAGGTACAGTGCTACACTCTCTACTCACATGGATCCCAAGAATTAAATCCTTTTGCAAACATTTTGAAATCATAATATATATATATATATATATATGTATGTGTGTATGTATATCTTTATATAAATATATTTTGCAAAAAAAACAAATTTCAACAGTTGAAATCAACTGCCGACAGTTTAGGTTTCCATCAAAGAGAGTGCATCCCCGATCATTCACTTTGTCCGACAAAGGGGCTGATCTTGTCACTATGATCGCCCACTCAGATGAATTCTCGGATTGTCCCAACATACCCAGGTTTTGACCCCCTCTAAGGATCTCACTGATTAGCATATCAAAGACAGCCTAATCCGACACCTATTGCAGTATCATAATCGAGTCTAGGGGTCAGGTGAAACATTTCAGTTTTGCCCATTTATCTCAAAGGTCTAGGGCAATACGAGAATTTTGGTCTGATTCAGGGTTTTAAGAAAACCCCCACTGCGTGTACCTTAGGTCTCACCCCGACAGTTGAGACAAGCTACCCCAACCAACTTGGTGGCACATTAATGTCAGCCTTGGCAGGATAAATCTCCCTGGATCTATCCAACGGCTGTGAAGATTCTAAACTAACACGAGTCTCATTAAGTGTCCAGTTTAAGGGTATTACATAGAAACACACCACAATGACATGAATCAATTATGTACTTTATTCATTTACAATAAATGTTAAAATGTACATCAATCTGATTGGAGCTAAGGGCATAACTGTCTAACAGGTTCGGTCCAAACAGATGACCCACTCTGACAAAAAAATTAAAAAAACAAAAAAAATGCCAAAAACTGTTGTCCGAGTTGACGGTTCGATCGCCCAGGTCAATGGTTCTCTAACCAAATAAACAGTTTTGGACAAAAAGCGGTTTTGAGGTGAAATGGCATCCGGTTCCCAATTTTTTCCGGTCAAATCATCTGGTTTGATCCAGTTTTGAAAACATTGTATCCGTCAACCTAATATTCAATTTGATGATGGAAATGATCAAAATGATATATTAAGTATCAACCACATGGTAAATTTCTAAAAGTACACTAATTGTCTTTAATATCCAAAAATGTAATTTTATGAAAATTTTGGAAAATTTATTTTACTTGTGTAATTTTGAAAATTTATTCAAATTTATTTAAATTTTTATTAAATAATTTATTTTCTTTTTAAATGGTTTACTTACAAAATTATACTAATTTATCTTATAATTTCTAATATAAAATAACCAATAATTTCCTTTTTCCAATATTAGACTAATTTATCTTAATAATTTGTGTAATTATTTGTTTAAATTATAGTTTTCCATTTCCCATAGTCATTTATCTTTAACAATTATCAATAAATTGCAATGAAAATTACATAATTTTTCAATGGTTTTCCAAAATCTATCAAATGTAATAAATTTTCCTAAAATTTCTAAACTATTCAAATAATTTCCAATAATTATTTAATGTATTTTAAATAATCTTTCAAATACTTTATATCTTTTAATTTCAAAAATGTTATTTTACGAAAAATGTAGTTTTATGAAAATTTTTGAAAAATTTATTACATTTGTGTAACTATGGGGATTTATTGATTTTTTTTTTAAATTGTTATTAAATATATTTTTTTATTTTGTAGTTTACTAACAAAATTACATTAATTTATCTTTTATTTTTCAATATATATTAATTTATAATTTCATTTTCTAACATTATAATATGTTGTTCCCCTATTTGTATTTGGTTATTAATTATAATAATAACAATAACAAAAATTTTATACATTGTGATGATTGTTAAATATATAATTCTCAATTTTATAGTAATTGGTTAAAGAGTTTTCAATTTCTATAAAATGTTATTAATGAGTTAATTAATAACAATATTTATTAATTTTTGATAATTTATTAACCATACTAATTAGAATATTTAATTTTTGTTAATTTACTAATCGTATTTATTTACTTTTGGTAATAACACTATTTAATACTCATTGAATATATAGGTGCGAATAAATATTAACCATATTTAACTATTTATTAATTAATATTAATATTTTAAATGAGGGAGAGTGGATATAGATTGGAGGGGGATGCATTTTAGGAATTGATTAGGGAGTGGGGCAACATGATAATTTTCTACTGGTTTAAATGAGATACCTTAGGAGAGAGATTATAGGAATATTTTTAGGTAGTTGGGTGACATGGCTTAATGGGAGTGGTGGGAAGGGGAGAGAGAGAAAGTCAAAGAAAATGCAGGGTGGGGATAATGGAGCAAGGAGACTTGACCGGATCGATTTGGTTGGCAACAACCTACAACTGAACTGAACCAATCATTGAACACTCATAATTTCAACTAAATTTATATTCTAATCTCTAATAAATAGCAATAGTTTAATCTTCAATATTTATTGAAAATTTACAGCAAACGTACACAATCATTGAAAATAAGTTTATAATGAATATATAATAGATATCAAATAAAAATACAATAATTACAAAAAATATAGTAAATACTAAAAATATACTAAATTAGTCAATAAATAGTGTAATCTTAAACAATAGTTTAATCTCTAATAAGTATTAATCTATAAACTATAAAAAATATATAATTACTAACAGTTGTTTAATCTCCAATAATTATTGATAATTTTCTATTAAATAACAAAAATAAAAATACATTTATAAATAATTATTGAGAGCATATTTATAAAAAATTAAATAATAATGAAAATAAAATAAATACTAAATATAGTATATATATAAATATATAATGAATATAAACTATAATTATACAATTATTACTAATAAATATAAT